TTGTTTTCAGCAAAGTTTATGACCGCTGAAAACAGGATTGTTTAACTGTGTTTTCTAGAATAGACCTTTAGCTCTGCACCCATGACGACATCAGCGTTCCTCATTTACAGAAACAGAAAAGATGATTACTAATTATTTCCTATAATACTATGGCTACCTCTTACTGTACATTGATTATGCATTCATGATGCCTTCTTATCACACCGTGGTAGCAATAACACACCAAAAAATGTTACAAACTTACGAGCAGTACGACTGCAAATAGCAGAGGCAATCTCTTATTGTGATAAGCACGTATCAGTACAGCATATTCAAACGCCTGAAGCAAAACATAACTAACGCACTAACTCACATGGAAATTGAACCTTTCCAGAAATGGCTGGTGGCTTTGCAAAGCTAAAGAAATGTAAGTAGGTTTACGCATTTGTTTAGAAGATATGGCTTCTGTGAGATGCAATTATTTTCCTCTGCAGCTTATGTGGTTAAATGGTACAGCTGCTAAATGAGACAAGTTACAAGCCAATAGCAGGGTCTGTATGAAAAGAAACAGCAACAAATCATTAGAGAGAAAACATCTAAGATGTGTTCATGTACTGCCTCAATATTAACAAGGATCAATCATAAAAAAATCTTTGGTTAGGCATAACAGTGCTTAGGTCACTGTGACTCCTATGGATTAATCTCTGTTTTATCAGAGTTTATTTTAACTTGGGAACAGCATTAGAACTGTTGAATTGCTCTTTTAACTAGTTTTCTTCAAATATCCTCCTTCTTCAAAATCCTATCCAGAAAAATGAAAACTTCTGGATTCAGCTGACAGCTACTGCTTGAAATACTGATCACAGTGCTCAGAGTCAGAGAACATGGGTTTTGACCCCAGGTTGGCCAAAGGCCGAGCAAGCTTGGGCTGCCTCAGTTTCCTACAACAATAACATTTTTCCAAAGGGCTTTGAAACTTGGAAGGCAACTCATTGTTAGCAAACTGCAAAATGTTGTTATTCTTTTATGGAATATATTACTCTTTCTTCCCTCGTTTCCCACCCCACCCAAATAAGCGCTAATATATAACCTCCCCTGCTTTGTGCAGTGTTCAGGAGTGACATCTTACTTCTCCCTTATTACTAAGATAGATCGATACATAGATAGATATTTTGCAGCAGGCTTGAAGAGTTTCCTCAGACAGATGCTCTGTTATATGAGAACAATACGATCTTTGGACTAAAGGAAGGGTGTCCTTTTCGATGTTTACAGAGAGAGGTGGCGAGCTGCTTAGTCAAGGCTGTCAGCCTGATGCCAATACATTGTTCCTTGCATTGAATTGGTGCCTTGAGATGAACAGTTAAGGAAGCAGGAGGTTGCAGGGGCACTGGAAGGATCTAAGAGGTCAGTTATGGAAGGATTCAGTAAAAGTTGTCTTGCAAATCTCTGCTTCTATGTCTGATTTCTGGCAGGGAGTCCAGAAAATTCCTTCCTGATAATTTCATTAACTGTGAAATAAAGAAAGAGAAAGAAATGTTAGAGCACTCTGAAAAACACGAGACGCGAAAGCCATCCCAGGCAGTTTGCTCTTAAGCCAAAAACATCCCGGTGATATTCATAACAGAATTCTGATTACAACTTAAAACTTTCAGCCTAACTACCCAGACTACATATTTTTTGAAGAAAAGGAGGAAGGAGAGGAGAGAGAGGGTCTACATTGTGTTCAGCATCCTTCAAGTACTACAAGATGATGACTGACATGTTGTATCGTGACCAGTCCATGCTACATCCCTTATATAAAACAACACTTTCTCTCTTTCACAGCCATTTCGTTTACCCAGGTAGAAAAAAATCCATGAGTATCTGAGCATTTTAACATTTTTACTAAGCAGAAATAATATTTTGAAAAGAGAAGGGACAGATTTGGAGGAAACACAGAAGATAGATAGATAGATAGTGCTGAAAATGCAAAGACTGCAACACAGGTGAAAGGTGTTTTGGGTTTTGGGCTTTTTTTTTTTTGAAAAAAAAATCTCATCCTAAGTCTATTCGTTCTACATTTTTGTCACAGTTTGTTTGCAGATCGTGGTGAGACAGCATAAGCAAACTTTCATGCTCCTCTATAAATTTTGACTCTGACAGGCTGGGACTCTGTGCTAGCGATTGCTAATGAAGCTCAGAAGAAGGCACTGAAGCACTCTAACCTCTGTTTAAAAACCCAGAACAATATGACGTGTTCTGTACAGCAGCCGTTCTCTCCTGAACTCCTCTGTCTACATTTCAGACTTGTCCCGTCTAAAGCAAAGTCTGGTCTCCGCTTGGACCAGCCCCTCTCATTAGGCAAGGCTTTCCCTAAGAGAGACCTGTGACAGGAGACTTTGATGCAGATGTTCTCATCCAAACTGCTTGTTTATGGCTCCACCTCGCATGTAGCTTCCTGGTGCCATATTCACAACGGTGCTCCACAGTTTGGAAACAGTCTACTTTGAGAAATTTGCCTTAAAACTGAAGACCATGTTTAGGATCCATGTTTAGGATCCATATTTAAATTGGTAGCAAAGTTACTCCACATCTTCTCCCAAAATCTATGGGGACAGATCAGTTTTGGGTGCAGTTCCAGATTCACACGGACCTATGTTACTGCTCTTGCAGTTATGGGCATGCTTCTTGTTTTAGTCTTGGAGTTCAATGGCATTTTTTGGAATTCCTTTTGCAAAAACAGGTCTTTCCAACTCAGATGAATGTATAGTGACAGGGACGGAGAAGGCATGTGTCAAACAGACACAAATTTGAAAAAGGGCTCACAAATTTTCCAATATCCTCTGTTTTAGGAAGGGTTCATTTTTTCTGAATATGCACCTGACTCAGAAAAGGTAGACAATTACACTAAGACCTTTAGCACTGAAAAAAATATGTATTTTGAAAATACAACAGCTGAGTGCACCACAAATTAAAATCCAATAGAAACAAATGAACCCACTTAAGCATAGGCTTTTATCGTTATCAAACGATAAAAGAACTATTTTAATAAATGAGCTTGTGGTTCATAAAACAACAGTGCTCCTTTCAAAAAAATAAATTTCTGTTTTTAGTGGACGAATGTTAGGGCATTTTAACAATGAAAAGACTACATTTCTTCAGAGAGAATTTGAGTCTCCTTACACTTGCACTACATGTGATTCAACAGTGCCATTCAACTTGTCCACAAGATAAAGTACATGCCTGTCTTCAGCTTATAGTGGGCAACTTTCATTCTTTTCAACAGGAAATAGCCAGGTTAATGCTGGGACAAGATCAAACCCGTATGAAGGGCATGCACTGAAAGAACTATATGATTTCTTCCTTCTGATATTCAAGGGCTAGACTATTTCAAATCAGAGAAGATCCTCACCCAAAACTGATTAATCCTCAGGTAACCAATAGTTAGGCCCATTTCTAACAAATGTGTACAAAAAGTTGTAATAAACAGAGAATTTCATCACTTTGCAACAATTAAATCAAATGCTGCTTGATCTCTTATCGTCCTTGAGGAGAACACATATATTAATTTTTAATGGTTATGACTAGCAGCTTGAAAGCTCCCTTCCACCCCCTATGCAATGAAATTTATCTCAGAAGAAGTAAAAAAAAATCTATGTTTTGTGCAAAGCTACATGTTCTTACTATAGACTTGTCTATCTGATGGGTTATAATCCTCAAGGATGAAATATTTGTAACAAGCATAGCATTGGTGTTTGATGGGAGGAGAGAAGGGAACCAGCCCTCTGCGTATCTGGGTACAGGAACCTCCCATGAAGGGCTGTGCCAGCCCCGGCACAGGACCCGGCTGCTGGGTATGCAGGTGCTCGGTTCTCAAACACCCCGTCCACGAGGGGTGCAGCGAGCCCGAGGGGCTAGGGAGCCCACCAGGGTGCCGAGTGGCTCCATTCACTGCCGCCTGCTGCGACACAAGGTGGTTTCCATCCCTCCGTGCTCCGAAACCCCACCGCTACCAGCTCAGGGTTTAGCCCTACTTTCTAATTCCAGTCAGGAAATGCCTGATCTTGGCCTGGTTAGTGCCTGGGGGACAGCGTGTGGATTCCCGCAACAAAATGTGGCCGAGAGCAATTGCAACAGCAAGAAGCACTGGCATCTCCTGGTGCCCAACTCTCCATCTGCCACCTTCACCTCCTGGCCTCTGCCCACCACCTTTTGGGCCAGTTCATACAAACAGAGCCGGAGGCAGGGTATGTGCTGTATTGCTACTCTGCAGTGTAAGCAAGCAGCCAGCGGGAGGTGAGGTTGGTCTACTTTCAGGCAAAACCCTACTGCGACTCTGTTTGAAGAGCTTCCTGTTTGCTCTACCCAGGAAATGAGAGGAGCAGGTCTTCAATGGAAATTTTTCGCAGCCTCGGCTAAAAATAGCAGTGAGGTAAAAGAAGTGGGCACCCACTCTCTCAGGGTCATTTCCTTTAAAAAAATAAGTGGGCTGAGACTGCAGGCCAATTTATTTATCAACATGCTTGCTTGAGCAGCCACCGTACCAAAAAACTATTGTATTTGAGTTTCCTTTTATTTAATATAACCACCACTTATGGAAACATCGTAGCCAACAGTCACCTCAGTCTGGGGAGGGTTAACGCAGTAGGAGAAAATGCGCAGGTGATTAAATGGGCTTTACTGAACCTGCAGTCTTTTGAAGGTTCCATTTTTTTGTTCTGTTTCCCAGCCTGAACATTGTACCAAGCAAAATCTGTAGTACAGCGCAAGCAAAGCGCAAGCCAGGAGACTGGCCAGAAAAGAGGTCTCAGCTTAGTGGCTGCAAGCAGGTTGGACAGTGCGGTAAAGGGCTTCCTCAGCCTGTAAACTTCACTTTCCCTCCTGTGTGCTGTGTTGGAGGTCAGCAGTGGGTTTTGTGGGCAGAGGTTATAGGGGGACAACCCTATAACCTCTGAAAAGGGCTAAAAAGTTCTGTTAGGGGAACAGTATGAAACATCAGCCCCACAGACGAGCTGCAGGATGATACCCAAGGGCAGAGTTGGGCTCTCTCCATTTGAGCTCTTAAAGGTTGCAGTCAGATTTTTGTTGTAAGTATCTAGTAAATGTCTGAATGACAGGGAAGCTGCCTTGCTACTGTTAGTTGGCCTGAACATCCTGTGCTCAGCCTGAATTTCACCTAAATCCATGTGGGGAAGGGATTTTGGAGAAGTTCAGGCTGGGCAACGGTAGTCTGGGGAGCTCTAAGAGAAGTATGTGTAATTCAGTGAATCTCTCTCCTAGCTTGGAGGCACTTCCAGATGGAGTCCAGGAAAATGACACATCTTCGCTGCATCTGCTCCAGATTTGGAGCCTGAATCCAAATCCAGGTGTAATCGCACTGACTTGGGTCTCAATAGTAGGTTGAACAGAATCAGCAACCTGAGACATAGCTAAACTTCAGAGGAAGCTGAGATCATGCACTGAACTTGCTATTCTGAACTCTTATCAATCTTTTTTTGGTAACATGGTTGAAATGTCTTTCAAGTATCAGTTCTCATTATTTGCTCATTTGTAGTCGAGAGGAAAGAGAGATGACGTGATTAATAAATAAAATGTTGTTATTTAAGGTGCCTGGCACATGGCCGCTTTGGAGCACACTGTTATTGATCGGTTTAATGAAAGAGAACTGATTAAACAGGGCCGTGATGACATACGCAAAAAATTATGAAAAATTAAATCATAAAAAGTATATCGAAATGAACTGATGTCAGCCATCCAGACCAAGGAAATGTTCATTCGACCCGAATCCTTTCAGCTTATCTTGGCAGATACAGCAGCTTATTATCTGATACTGCTGCTGGGTGAGTATTACAGCAACCCCAGTGCTTGGAGATCCCCAAGTGAGCTTAATGCAAGAGCCTGACTAAAATCATGGGAGAACGGCTGCGTTCCTCTAAGCTCTCAGCTTTGATGCGTTAGAGTCAGTCTCTCAGGCTCCAGGCCTCAAAGACATTTAAGATTCCAATTCACATCCTCTCAGATTGAAATCTGGAGCGTATTCACTTGCGGGCTGATAGTGGGTTATATTAAATACCGAGCTCCAGCTAGTAGTCCAGAGATAGAAAACAGTCTCCAGTTTTAGCTGGCTTTGAGTCAAGCTCCTTGTAATTGATTACAAACACCCATTCACGTTCAACATCCACACGTACACATCCACAAACACACAGCGTTATTCCACCTGTATGTCAAGCATAACAGCAATGAAGTCGGTGCTGTCTCAGCACCCTCAACCAGGGGCAGTGACGGGGATCTCCTGCCCTTTGGGGATCCTGCAGGTGCCATGCGTGCTCCACTGACAAGGCCAGGAGCCGTTTTACGCGCGAAACAAGCACAAAACATGCATGGAGGAACTGAGAGCATATCAGGGACCTCCAGTGAGGACTGGGGAGGGAAGTTTAACCCTGAATTTTTAGTGTGATGGCAAAAACATGGCTGGAATAGCCAGGTAAGCTGTGGTCTTTATAACAGAGCATAACTGCAGCGTGGGAAC